AGCGACACAGTCCACAGGCTAGGTGTCCCACAGGTAGTGTAACTTGCAAATTGAGGCACAGAACAAGCAAGGCCGCCAGCCGCACACTGGTCGCATGATCAAAGAGCAAGAGACAAGAAAGGCAGGGCTAGCGGAGCCATTTATCTCTCCGCCTTTCCATGAATCCCACATGTGATTTTCAGCCAGGTTGGCACAATAAAGTAACTACCTCTGTTACTGTAATGTGAACCTTTCCAGATGAAATCAACGTTTGTGGAAAGACAATGGAGAAGCTTACTATCATTAATCATAACAAGACCAGAGTAGATGAAACAGTCCATTAATTACTCATATGAAATATAAAGTTAATGCTGAAGAAAACTGTAACAAGTCTTTGAGAACCAAAGTATGGCCTGCTCTATATCGCCTGAATTTAGAGACCATCTCAAGAATATATTTTATTCATTGAACACTAATGACTAAAGACTAGATGCATTATGGGATGCCATTAAGAACAAGAGAAAACCAAGGTGGATGTGAGAGAGACAATAAAACGTTCACTGGATCAAGTTAAAGTGAATGGAAGAAATAATGAACCAAAGAACTGAACAGAAGAGTTCAACTGATGGCTCAAGAAAACAAACCACAGCAATGAGAGTGGGATGTGCAGACCTGGAGTTGTAAAGCCAAAGGGAAGGACATGCGCGGCGATTTTCAAGCTGAAGGAACTGACGAAAACCTTAAGCCTTGACTTATCATAATTAGGGATTCTCTGGGCTAGTTCCGAACATATCCACTGTTCCAAAAAGAACTGGTCAATATTCAACCATTTCAGGAAGTAATACGTGAACAAGAACTAAAGGCACTGAAGGAAGCAGTCCAGCTTGCACTGAAGTCATTGGTGAAAGCAAGATACCTGGAATTGATGCAACACCAATTGAGATGTCTTTCAGAAGCAAGTGTTGCTGGAAATATGCACTAATCAAGAAATCTGGACGACAACTACCTGGCCAATAGACCAGAAGAGATCCATTGTGCTCATTCAAGAGATAGTCATGTGATGTGAATTATACTGTTGTATAATTTGAGCATTCTATTGGGTCACCTTACTTTGGAATGGCTACCAATATGGATCTTTTTCAGTCAGTTGGCCAAGTAGCTCTCTTTGAAATTCCCTGGCATAGCTAAATAACTGCTTCCAGTGCATCTCCAGCTAGTTGAAATATTTCAATTCCTAGAATCTTGTATTTTGCTAATGCTTTCAATTCAGCTTGAACTTCTTCTTTCAGCACTATTGGTTCTTGTTCATTTGCTACCTCTTGAAATGGTGGAATGTAGACTAGTTCTTTTTGGTACAGTGATTATATATATTTCCCATCTCCTTTCAGTGCGTCCTTCATCATTCAATATTTTGCCCATAGAATCTATCGATTTGCAAGTCAAGACTTCATGTTTTCCTTGAGTTCTATCTGTTTAAGAAATGCTGAGCATGTTCTTCCTTTTTGGTTTTCTAACTCTAGGTCTTTTCTCATTTCATTAGAATATTTTGCTTTGTCTTCTCAAGCTGCACTTTGAAATTTCCTATTCAGTTCTTTGATTTCATCATTTCCGTTTTCCTTAGCTACTCTACAATTAAGAGCAATTTTCAGTCTATTCTGATATCCACTTTGTTCTTTTCTTTGTTTCCTGTCTTTTTAATGACCCTTTGCCTCTTCAGGAATGATGTTCTTGATGTCCTACCAAAGCTCATCAAGTCTTTTGTCATTAGTGTTCATTGTATCAAATTTGTTTTTGATATGTTCTTAAAATTTAGGTGGCATGGAACGAGTCAAGTTCATATTTTGGCTCTCCTTGTGGGCTTATTTCCATTTTCTTCCATTTCAATCTTAACTTACATATGAACAACTGATGGTCTGTTCCCAATCTGACCCTGGACTCATTTTACCTGCCGATATTGAGTTAAGTTAGCCTCATCTCTTCCCACAAATGTAGTCAATTTGATGTATCTGTATCCAGAGAAGTCCATGTGTATAAGTTACCTTCTGTATAGTTGAAAAAGATATTTGCTATGAACTCATTGTGGGTCTTGCAAAATTCTATCATGTGATAACCAGCTTTCTTTCTATCACCAAGCCCATATTATCCAACCACTGTTCCGTCATCTTTGCTTTCACCTTCTGCATTCCAGTCGTCCGTATCCATCAACCCTTCTTGATTGCATGTTTGATCAATTTCTGACTGAAGATGTTGGTAGAATTCTTCAATTTGTTCATCACTAGCTTTTGTGGTTTGTGCACGAATTTGAATAATAATTATATTGGTTAGATTTGCTTGAAAGCGGATACATGAAAATCCTAAACTAGACAGTATTGCTCTTCAAGCTTGATTTTGGAATGTGCTTGTTGACAATAAATGCAATGTAGGATGCAAATATAGTTAGGTTAAAATGTAACACCTTATCATTTGATCCCTTTTCATGTACTTTAAAGTTGTTTCAG